GTCCTCAAGGGCAGCCCCCGGCCCTTCCCAGACTGAGCCCTGGGCAGGCTCCGGGCATCCACTGGCCTGTCACTGCTCCCCGTGGGCTTCACTGGGACCGCGCACACGGAGAGCTGTCCCTTTGTCTGTCCCTTTCCTGAATTACAGGGCGAGGCCCTTCGCCCCCCGTGCCAGGCCCCCAGACCCAGCCGTGGATGAGAACGATTTCTGCACCCCTCACGCCACCACGGCCACATGTGGCTGACTTTCCTCAGGCTATCGTGCCTCTGTTTCGGCTTGGGGGTCCGTCCCAGCGGGCCTGGATGGCCGCCTGGAGGGCGCGCTCCCGCTGGGGACCCCACGTACACGCAGGGGCCGGCCGAGGCCTGAGCATGCCCGTCTAGGGGTTGGACAAGGGGAACTCCAGCGGGGTCCAGCCTTGAAGGCTGTCCAGACCTCAGCCCTCTCCTCTCCTGGGGAGTCTCCTCGGGGCCGTGAGGGGTGAGGTGCTTCGGCCTCGCTGTGCCTTGACGCCTTTGCCGCAGCCGCGCTGGGAGCTGTTGTTCCTGCTGACGCTGACGTGGTCTAGGCTGTGACTCAGCCCTGTCCCCACGTGGCTGCAGGGGAGGCCACCTCCCGCAGAGCTGGGGGAGGGGGTGGTGGGGACAGCAGGGGCCGGGCCTGTGCCCTCACCCGCCTCCACCCACAGGGGTGCCAGGAAGGTGGGGATTCTGGCCCAGACTCTGTCTCTAAGCCCCTGGGACAGTTGGGGCTGGACTCAAACATGACTCACCAGGGGAGCCAGGCTCCCCCGCCCCCATATCTGGGGCAACTCACCAGCGGGGGGGGGGGGGGGGGGGTGCCCAGATGTTTGAATTCGCTCATCTGAGCTTCCTGGTCACACACAGGAGCCCCAGGGCCACAGTGCAGCAAGCAGTCATTGGTGGAGACCTGCACCCCTCCCCACCCTGCCCTGCGACCCCTCTCCACCTCTGCCCTGTCCTCCTCCTGCTTCTGCCCTGTGCCCCTGCCCTGCTCATCTGCATCCATTGTCCCCTCCCCCCACTCCTGACCCACTGGGCTCAGGCCACTGCAGTGAACTGCAAGTGACAGCGAGGGCTGCAGTGAACTGCAAGTGACAGCGAGGACAGCAGCAGCTGCAGCCGGGCTGGGCGGGACTCGGGGAACTCCAGGCTGACTCAGCTGTGTGCCATCACGGCAGGAGGGGCACGCAGAGGCCCCCAGCACCCCTCCCTCGGCCACAGCAGGACAGGGATTCTCTGGGGCAGGCTCTGCCCGGAGCCTGCTGGGGCCAGGTCACCGTCTTGTACCCACCAAGGTGTCTGGGGAGAGGAGGGACTCCCAGCTGGAAGTGGACATGCCTCAAGGCCCGTCCACGGGGGGGGGGGGGGTGGTGTGTGCAGGAGGGGATGGTGCTGGGGCCTCAGTGGGGGTCGGGGGCCTGTGGGGGCTCAGCCTGGAGGCCTGGCCCAAGACAACCCCGCGGCGTCCCCTGCAGGGACATCTCCGCACCTTGCCTGAGCCCTTTCCGTGCCAGGGGGCCCTGCTAGCTGCCACCACACTCTGGGCTGCGCAGGCCCCTGCCCAGCCCTGGGTCCGAGCCCTGCTTTCACAGCTCCTCCAGCCAGGAGTGGCTCCCCAAGCCCCCAGCACTGCTTGGGAGCCCCCAGTCCCCCTCCCTGGGGGTCCCTATCTGGGGGCTCGGAAGCCACTGTCTGCTGGGCATCCCGAGGACCCTGGGGCAGTGTCACCCAAGAGTGAAGGCCAGCGTGGGCGAGGGGGGCTGCAGGGGGCTCCCCAGGGTGGCCTGTGGACAGTGCCATTCGTCCTAGACCCGCAGAGAAATAGGGGTTTTGAGTCCTAGAGCAGGTGGTCGCCCAGCCCCGCTTTCTGCATGGGAGAATCAGGAGCTGTGGGGGGGGAAGCCCCCGGGAACTGCATAGAGTAGCACGTGGCACAGCCAGGGGGCCTGTCCACGCAGGCTTCTCCAGAGGAGCAGCTGTGGCCAGGCCTCCAGGGGGACTCTGCACAGCACCTTGGGGGTATCCAGGGGGATCCTCCGTGGTGCTGGGGATCAAACCTTCGTGGGCTGCGTGCGAGGCTGGCAATCCGCGGCTGCCGTCTTCTGGGCCTGGGGAGGTGGGTGGGACCAGCGTGGGGACACTTCAAAGCCCTAGAAATAGCCCCGAGAGGAGTCGCTGCCAGTTAGGGAAAAGGGAGTTAGCCGCAGGGAGTGGGGGTGCTTGGAGATTAGGGGGTGGGGGCCTTGTGCACCCCCAGCACCACACAGGGACTCTCATGCACGGCCAGGGGTGGCCCTGAGCACCCCCACAGGAGGCCCAAGACAAAAAGCCAAAAAGTTATGACCAACAACACAAAGAAACTGAAACAAGTTTATTTAACAAGGCAAGAGAGAAAACTATCCCTGGGGGGGGGGGGGGGGTGTGTGGAGAGAGAAAATGAGTGTGAGACTGTGTGTGTGTGTGTGTGTGTGAGAGAGAGAGAGAGAGAGAGACAGTGAGTGTGAAATGTGTGTGAGACAGTGGGTGTGTGGGTGTGTGAGTGCATGTGTGACCGAGTGCGTGTGTGAGTGTGTGTGTAAGAGGAGAGAGAGAGGCCTTGCAGGCAGCTAGCCAGTGGGCTCCATCCTCCGTACCACATTGACCCCCAGCCCCGTGCACCCCTGGGTGTTTCTCCCCCATCAGTAGCAGGAAGGAGTGATTGGGGCTGGGCTGGCCGCTCTGTCATAACTCAGCGGCCTCCCAAGTGCAAATAGGCTCCTTACAAGGAAGCGCAGGGACCCGAGGCCACTCTGTCCCCTCAGCGGGCCAGCCCAGCCCTCCTGTGTGCTGTGTGTGACCCTGAAGTTGGGGCTTGCAGTCTCACTGCTGCACATGCCTGGAGGGCCTGAGTGGGGGGGCTCTCACGCCTCTGGAGGAGCTAGTGGGGGGTGCTTGGGGGTGCTGACAGGCCCGGGGTACTTGGGGGGAGAGGGATGGCTGCGGGGCCTGCAGAGGGGGGTTCCGGGGTGCTGGCCTTCTGGATTCGTTGCCTGGGGGGTCCCTAAGGGAGCTGGCAGTGTGCAGAATGTGGGGGCTGTGGGAGGAGCCAGGGCTCCCCTAGGTGCCCGCTCTGCGAGGCATGGGGCCCTCCACTCATGGGTGGCCCCTGGATGGGCATCTTCCTTGGCTCTCCCTGGCATGCTGTGCCCTCAGCTCCCTTCCCAGTGACCTCCCCCAGTGCCCGGGCAGGGAGGACTTCTGCATGCCCCCCACTTAGACGGCTTGCCTTTGGGGGGCCACCTACTCTCCAGCCCATTCCAGGTGGTGGTGTGAGGTGGGGGCGCCTCCCGGGTCCTTGCCCCCCGGGCATTCCTTGGGTTTCAAAGTGGAGCTCATTTCCCTGCTTCTCCCGCCCGCCGCCCGCGGGCCTGGTGGCCCCCACCCCGCGGCTCCTGCTGGGGGGAGGGGGGCTGGGCCCGGCCCTATTAATGTCCGGAGCCCCAGGAAAGTGATTACAGGCCGGGAGTGATTGAAGCCAGGGGCGAGGCGGGAGAAGGTGATCATTACCGCGGGGGGCGCGGCCGGTTCCCAGCTCCCCCGGACAGAAACAAAGGGAGACGCGGGGCGCCCGCAGCGCACACACCCGGCGACCTTCCTGGCCGGGAGTGCGGCGGGCGGGGGGTGGCGGGCGGGCCTTCCTGCAGCGCTGGGGACCCCGTGCGCGCGGGGGTGGGGGGGGTCCACCGAGCAGACCCCTCCCAGGCGGGGGGCGGCGGGCGGGCCTTCCTGCAGCGCTGGGGACCCCGTGCGCGCGGGGCTGGGGGTCCACCGAGCAGACCCCTCCCAACTGGGGGTGCACGCTGGTGAGGGCTGTGGCTCCCAGCAGCCACTGCCCTTCAGGTTTCTGGGGGCTCCGGGAGCCAGGCGTGCCCCCTGGCGCGGATCCCAGACCCCCCCCTCCCCCCCGCCCAGAGCACAATGCGGACCTGGCTAATCTGGGGTGCAGAGTGCCAGCTCCGCGCAGAACAATCCCGGGGCGTGCCTCGCCTGGCCAGGTGCTGTTACCAAAACACGGGGGTACAATGCAGACCAGGCCGGACCAGGTCGCCGAGCCCCTCCCCCTCCCCGGGCCGGTTCGGGGGGGGGGGGGGGCGGCAGGAGGGACTGGCCGGGCCTGACACTGGGGGCCAGCGAGGGTGGGTTCGGGGAGGCCGGGGCGTGTGCGCGCGCGCGGGATGTCTGTGGCTTTGCGCCCCCCGCTCCACAAACACCCGGCGTTGAAAATAGTTCAAAACATCCAAAGCATGAGCGGGGAGTGCCTCGCCGGCTCGGCTTAAAAGGGGCCGGCCCGTCCGCTGCGCAGAGCGGCGCGCGCGGACCCCCTGGCCCCCCGCTCGCGCGCGCTCAGGACTGGGGGCTGGGGCCCGGGACGAGCCGGGGGCCCCCTGCCCGCTCACCCGCCGGGCCCCCGGGAGCCCCGGGGCAGAAGGTCAGGGGCAGGAAGGCAGGGGGAGGGCGCAGGGGGCCCGCCCCCTGCCCAGCCTGGGGTCCCGCGGGGAGCGCTGGCGGGGTGCGGGCCGGCGGCCGCTCGCCGTCCTCCCTGGGGACTCCGGGAGCCCGAGGGGTCCCCTGGGCTCGGCGGCAGCCCCTGCCCGGGGTGGGGTGGGGGTGGGGGTGGGGAGGCGGCCCAAGTGCTGCGTCAGCGCCGCCCGGCCGGGCCGGCCCAGGGCGCGGGGTGGGTGGGGCCGCGGTGCCCCCTGGGCGGCGCGGCGGGCGGGCCGGGCGCGTGCGGGCGCCGAGCGCGGGAAGGCGGCGGCGGCGAACTTTGTTTGGCGGCGCCCGTGCGCCCCCGCGGCCCGCCCCGCGCCGGCCCCTCGTCCGCCCACATCTGGCGCGGCCGGGGGCGGGGCCGGCCGGCGGCGGCGGCGGCGGCGGCGGCGTCCCGGGGCCGGGCCGGGCCGTGCGGGAACCCGATCGCGGGCGCGGCGCCGCCTCCCCCATTCATTCGGCCGCGCCGGGGCCGAGGGGCGCGCGCGGGGCTGCGGCGGCGGGAGCGCGCGGGGCCCGGCCGGCGGGGGCGCGCCTCGCGGCCCACCCGCCACCATGTCCGACCCCGCGGTCAACGCGCAGCTGGACGGGATCATTTCGGACTTCGAAGGTGGGTGCGGGCGGCCGGGCCGCCCCCCGAGCCCCCGCCCGCCGCGGCCGCGACCCTCCCCGTCGGCGCGCGGCGCCCCCCGCCCGTCGCCCGGCCCGGCCGCGCGCGCGGGCCGCCCCCAGGCCCAGGGGCTCGGGCCCCCGCCGGCCTCCCGGGGCCGCGCGGGCGCGGGGCGGGGGCGTCGTGGCCCCCCGCCCGCCCGGGCGGCGCGTCCTGCGTGCGCCGAGGGGAAACGCACACAATGGTCGCGGCCGGGCGGGCCCGGGGGGCGGGCCGGGACGCAGCCCCCGCCCGGGCACACCGTCGGGGGCCGGGGAGCCCCAGGCCGCCCCAGAGACCCCAGGGGTGGGTCGACCCCGTCCGCGGGGCCGCCAGAGCCCCCGCCCGCCCCCGGCTGGGTGTGCGGGGCCGGGCGGGGCTAGCAGGAGCCCGGCTGGGTGGGGGGAGAGGTGGGGGCGCGGCCCGGGCCTGGGGGCTCCCCCAGGGGCGTTCCGGGAGGGCAGGCCCGTCTGGACCTCGGGGGGCTCCGTCTGCTAGGGTCGGGGCTGGCCCCCCGTGCCTCCGAGTGGCCGTCGAGGGAGGGAGGTGGGCGCCTGCCCCCTGCCGGCCGGTCGTCGTCCGCACCCCAGGCCCCCGGACTTGGGGGGAAGAACGGGGTGCGGGGAGGGGGCCGGATGGGGAGGCCGAGATTGGGGGTCACGTGGTGTCTCCGCCGCTGTCACTACTTTTGGTGGGGCCCCCGGCTCTTCCATCTCCTGGGGTGACGCTCTGAGCCTGGGGGTGCCCTCTGGCTCCCTGGGCTCTGCACAGCCTGGGCTATGCCCCGGAAATTTCCAGAGCTCCCTTGTTCCCGCGTGGGGCGACCCAGAGCAGGGTGGGGACCCGCAGTACCCGGGGAGTAAAGGGACGTCGGATGAGGGGTTGGCTTTGGGGGGTACCTAGCTGTGCCTGGTGCTTAGTTTTGTTTGGGGCGACAGGTCAGCTCCGTGCAAGGCAGACCCCTTCTCGGTCCCACTCAGGGCAGACTCTGGGCTCAGTGCTCAGGCATCACGCCCGTGGCGGGTGCTAGGGGGGATCTCCGTGTGGCTCCTGGGATGGAGCTGGAGTTGGCTGTGAGCGGGGTCAGCGCCTCCTCGGGCCCCGGAGGGGAGAGGAGCCTGCCCTGGTGACCGAGGTCACCCAGGCTGGCCCGTGGTCACAGGGAGGTCAGTGGCGCGGAGAAGGCCTTGAGCCGAGTTGCAATTTGGTTGCCACTGGAAGGGACGGCAGGGAGCTGGCTCTTGAGGGGCCGGGGGGTGAGGAGAGGCCAGCTCGCCGGAAGGTCAGCCGGGGCACCCGGAGGCTGGGCAGTGCTGACCTGTCTCTCTGCCACCTGGCTGGCGTCTCTGCGGGCACCCGAGGAGGGCGGCGCCTTGCCCGAGGCCTTTGGTGCCCATGGCCCGGGCTGGCAGTGGACTTAGACCGTCTCAGGCGCAGGTGGGCGAGTGCAGGGGTGACGGGGCTTGGACTCCGGCCCTGGGCCGAAGGCTATGGCAGTGCCCAGGTGCTGGGGGGACTGGTCTGTGGGTGGGGAGCGGGCTCGGGGTGGGGCCTGGGGACCCCCTCCCCACCAGGGTGGGGACCACCCTTCCTGCTCTTTTCAGTTCCTCAGTTTTGTTCTGGGGTGATTTTTCCCAGGGCGGAGGGCTGTGCCTGGCGGTGCTCAGAGCTTGCTCCTGGCTCTGTGCTCAGGGGTCACTCCTGGAAGGAACCTTGTGGGATGCCAGTTGGCCACTTGCAAGGCCAGAAGCCTCCCTGCTGTCCTGTGGCTCCAGCCCCTGTCCTGCCCTTTGGCACCCCGCCCTGACCCTGTGGGTCCTGCAGGAGTGGCCTCAAGGCTCTGAGGATCCTCGGGCAAGGAGCGCCTCACCCTGGTACTGGGGCTGCCCACGCCGGCCGGCCGCATCCCAGGCCTGTCTGACGCCGATCCTCCTGATGGGCAGCTGTCGGCTGACCCCCTTGTCTGTCGTGTCCTGGGGGAGGCCCACCCGATAGCGTCCCTTGCGGTCCCTGACGCCGAGCTTTGCGCCTGGGCGCTCCAGCGACCCGCCAGGACTCGGCTCTGCTGCCCCTCGCCGCCAGCCCACGGGGCAGCTCAGGCCTGGCTCTGGGGTCCCCACCAGGGGGGGCGGCACCCTGGGAAAGGGCACGGCTGTGGCCGAGTGCCCAGCTGGAGTGGCTGGGGCATCAGGCACCCGCGGGCAGCGCTGGCACGGACGGGCAGTTAGGGTGTCCGAGCCGCGGGGGCTCGGTCCCCCTCTGTTGTGGGACTCTAAACACCTTGCTTTCGGGTGTCGGAGCTGAGGGCAGGGGTCTGGGAGTCAGAAGGTGCTAGGAGCACAGGGGAGCCTCTCTGCCCCCTACCCGTGTTTGGGGGGCTCCCTGCTGGGCCCTGGGTGTCGAGGTGCTGACGGCTTCCCGGGTGCTGAGGGCACCCCCAGTCTGGCCAGGACTAGTCTGACTGGGGTGCTGGCCCCGAGCGAGGTGGGAGGGAGAGCCCTCGGCCCCGGGAGAGCGGGAGGATCGGGGGTACAGGGGGACCCCTGTGGCCCAGCAGGTGACGGGTCACCAGCCCAGGCCTTATTTGTGGGGGATCGGCCCTGGGGAGTCCCTGGCACATGTGCCCGTCCCAGCCGAGCCTCCCACCCTGGTGACCAGCCTCAGCCGTTCCGTTGGGCAGTGTCCAAGCGGGATGGTGACCCCCCTCCCCAATCTTCCGTGCCAGGGTCAGGGGGGCACATTCGATTAAAACAGTAGCACTGGGCCAGAGCGATAGGCCAGCAGGGTGGGCGCTTGCCTCGTATGTGGCCAAGCCGGGTTCGATCCCCGGCATCCCACAAGGTCCCCTGAGCACCACCAGGAGTGAGTCCTGAGTGCAGAGTCGGGAGTAACCCTGAGCATCTCTGGGTGTGGCCCAAAAAGCCAAAAAATAAAAAGAAAACAGCAGAACCGTCCCGCCCAGATGCCGGCATGCAGGATGCTGGAGCCGCACCCCCTCCCCGGGGACTCAGGGGCACAGACCCCGGACGTGGTGCCCTGGGCAGTCACAGGGGCCCGTTGGTGGTGGCGTCTTGGGCGTGCAGCCACAAGACCCATCCCGGTCAGCGGGTTCCTGCCGCAGCCTCTGGCCGTGCGGGCGGCGAGGACGGGCGTTGGCCCCCAGCTTTCTTGCAGCTTTTCCCAAATTTGGAGGCTCCGTGTCGCCCTGACAGTGGCTCTGGAACACGGCCCTGGAGTCTGCGGCCGGGTACGCCGCACACAGACTGACACGCCCCCCAGTCGCCCCTGACCCCCCGGGACGCCCCTGGCGCCTGGGCATTGGGGGTTCGGCTGTTTGGGCTGCATCAGCTCCCCCGGCTCGACCCCGATGCGCTAGAATTTTCCAGTTTGTTGTCAGTTTTGGAAGTGCCAGGGCTCAGGAATGCAGAGAAGGAGCAGGGGCAGACCACAGTCTCCTGGGATATAAACACCCCCAGGGCGGCCGGGCCACAGGGAGCACTGCTTGGCTCCTTCTCTGCCCCGGGGACCCCCCCCAGCCCCTTAGGGAGAGAGACGCCCCTGCCCCCCCCCCCCCACCTGCCAGAGCCCTGGGGAGCCTCTAGCTTCCCCTGGTCGAGAATCCGGAAAATCCAAGCCACGGGCCCGCCCCGCGCCCAGCGAGGTCGCCCTGGACCGCCCAGCACAGGAACGGGAACTCGTTTCTGGGTTTGAAGGGGCAGGACACCCCGGCTTACAGGACGTGGGGGGCTCCTGGCGTCCATCTCCCCTCCTCCCCCATGCTGCCCCCCCCAGCCCCAGGAGTCCGGGTGTGCTGCTGCCTCTGCAGTTGCTGTCCTCGGGGTGGGGTCTCCCAGGAATGAGGAACCCTGCGGACAGCACCCAGCACCGAGAGTTTGGGGGCTGACTGCTGGGGTCCTCCACGGTACGGGAGTTGCCGTGGTCTGCCCCCTGTCCAGTGCTCCCTGCGTGGATCTGCAGGAAGTCAGCCCTGGCGGGCAGCAGGCCTGGGGTCACCTCCCGCTGGCCAGGGGCTCGGCCTTCCTTCTTTCTCCGCCTCTGTGGCAGCTCACCGTGAGGGCTGGGGACCCCCAGGGCTGCCCCTGTGGGGGGCTTCAGGGTGCACCCTGGGCTGTGTGAGGGACCTGGTGTGCTGTCCTCCTGGACCCATGGGGAGGGTTGTGGGGGGCTGCCGGAGGGAGGCACTTGGTGCTCGAGTGTTTATTTAGCAGCTGTCTGTGGGAGCCAGCTAAGCTCTCTTTGGGGTCCAGGGGGTGGTATCCAGCCATAAGTCAAGGCAGCATCATTCCAGGAGGGCGCCCTGGAGGAAGGAGTACACAGGGTGGGAGTTTATTAGCTTCTCTTGCAGCTGTGCTGCTTTGTAGTTTATTGGAAGAGTGGGCGCCACGGCGGCTCCTGGCACCCAAGGGAGGTGAGGGGTCGGGAGGGCTTGCAGGTCACCTCCTGCCTCAAGGCGAAGGGGTGGGTGGGGTGGGGATGTGGGTGGCTGATCCAGGTGGGAGGGGCTTCAGGGGCATTTGGAGGATTGGGCCCTGGTCCCCAAGCCTGAGCTAAAGCACAGCTGACCTTGGCTGACCTTGGCCGACCTGCTGCATTGGGACGGGGTGGGGATGGGGTTAGGGCTTTGGGGCCTTTGAGATGAACGGGGGAGGGGGAGGGGGAGGCGGAGCTGGTGAGGGCCCCAGCCCGGCCCTGGCCTTCCCCTACTGCTGCGAAGAGCTGCAAGCCCCGCGCCCCGCCCCCAGCCCTCTCCCCGCCCCTCCCCGCCCCATCCCCCACCACCGCGCCCCGCCCCCAGCCCTCGCCCCGCCCCGCCCCTGTCCCCGCCAGCTGTTCCCGGCCTGCAGCTTCCTCTGGCCTTGCCCCTTGGTCCGCACAGCCGGTTCCCCGGGGGAGGGGCGCAGCTGTGTGGGGGGGGTGGCAGCGGCGGGCCCTGAGCCCCGGTGGTCTTGGCTGGAGGGAGCCCGGCCCCACTTCCCCGCCCCTCCTGCCCCCCAAGTCCTGGGTTGGCTGTGGGGGCCGCCGGCCGGTCCTGGGGGGGGGGAGGGAACTGCCAGCTGGGCCCCTGCCAGCAGCACCCACCCCAAGGGGCAGGGGGCGACCGTCTGGGCTGTGCTGGGGGGTGCGTCCAGCCCGCGGTCCTGCACTTGAGGGGTCTTGGTGATGGGGGGCGGAGAGGCCAGAGTCCCGCGTGGACACGCCGTGTGGAGGCCCGTGGGTGTACGGTGTGGGATGGAGCGTGGACGTGCCTGTGGTCTCCAGGGGGACCCTGGCGTAGACCCATGGCACGTGGACATGCAGAGGGCAGTTCCTGGGCCGGGTCCAGGGGCAGGTGGGCCCCCCCACGTCTGTCCTTGGTGTTCGCGGGCCTTCCCGGGAGCGGCCAGCAGGACCGGTACCCGGGGGAGGCACTGCCGAGGGGAGGGACCACCGGGGGGAGGGACCGCGTACAGGCTCGCCTGGCAGATGTCAGCCCTGGTTTGTGCCCTTGAGCATCTGGGGTAGTGCCTAGAACTGTGGGGTTCTGGAATGTTCTGGAAGGTCAGTGAATGCTGACCTCGTGGGTGCGGGGTGGGGAGGGGAGAGACCTTGGGGGTCACAGGCGTGGGAACTGGCACGTTCTTTACGGCCACCTCCGGAAACTGAGGCATGGGGAGCTAAGGACCCTGCTGGCCACTCCAGTGGCTCCTGCCAGCAGCGCCGGGACCCAGGGGGCCGCGGGGATCCCTTCCTCGCCCAGCACTCGGCTGGAACCCCTTCCAGAACCTTCCCGTGCCGGCTCTGCACCCTCCAGCAGAGCCTGCGCTGGGGCCAAGCCTGCGGATCACGTGGTTCTGAGGCCCCCGCCCCAGAGGTTGTGGAGCAGCTGGACTCGGGGGCGCTGCCCTCACTGGCTGACCTCTGCTGCCCACTCACTCTGCCCTGTAATTAGGCCGCAGCTCCTACCGGCCTGGGCCAAGCCTTCACCTGGGCCTGGAGCCCCGTGGCCCCGCCCCCTGCCCCCCTGTGATTGATGGGCGGCGCCACCGCCCCTCCCCCACGCTCTGCTTGCTGTTCTGACCTGCGCCCCCTGGCAGCCCTTGTGTGCGTGCGTGCCCTTGTGTGCGTGCGTGCCCGTGTGTGCATGCTCACATGCATTTGTGCACACACCTAGGTACACGTGAGTGCATGTGTGGCTTGCGTGTGAGTCATCATCACATGAGACGTGCGTGCTCGTGAGTGCCGGTGTTCACAGACGTGACATGTGGGGCCGACCAGTGCAGAGGCACATGACGAGTACAGGTGCGCATGAAGGTGGTATGCACGCACATACGTAACGAATATTGTGTGCACTTGGCGAGAGTACACATGCTCTGTGTAGCACGCACACGCATCTATGCATGTGTGCACATGTGTGTACTTGCGTCAGCCCTGAGGCTCTTCCGGAGAGGCAGCTCCCTGCTTGAGCCCCCCCACCCCACCAGGGCGCCCCTCTCTGCTGAGAGGGAAGTTGGTCCAGCTGGCCCGGATGAGGGGTACACGGCCCTGGGGCTGTGTGCCTGGAGGGCTCTAGGGCTCCTGGTAGGGCACATTAAAGGGTCCCTTGGCCTTGCTGCCAGTGATCGGGGAAACTTTGACCCCCAAGAGACCAGAAAGAGTGGCTGGCGTCCTTCCCCCCCCCCCCCCCCACAGGCAGGCCGGAAATTCTTGCCTTATCTCGGCATCTCCTGCTGGCCCTGCCCTCCCCTCTCCTCCTGGAGCCACAGCTGGCCTGGGGCTGGGCCCCCCACGTGTCCCCTCACCCTCCCACAAGAAGGGCTGGAGAGATGGTTCCGGGCATCCGTACCCCGGGAGCGATTCCTGAGTGAGGGCCAGGAGTCAGCCCATCTACTGCCAGGGGTGGCTCAAAAGCAAAGGGCAGAAAGGAGGTCAGTGGCTCAGGGTGCTGTGACCCCCCTGGGGTAGACGCTGCTGTCCCCGAGCACCCGAGCAGAGGTGCTGTGGCCTCCTGGCGGGGAACCCCTCCTCAGCACCCCAGAACCTCCTGTGAGTCACCCCGTGACGGGTTTGTCTGTGTGGCCCCTGTGAGCTTTGTCCAGTCCCATGTCCCCACTTCTGCTCAGACGCGAGCTGTGGAGGGGGGACCCCAAACCCAGAGGCATCTCACCTGCCCGCCCTCCATAGCTGCAGGGCCCTTTACTGGAATGAGGTGGGGAGACGGTGCAGACAGACACACAGACGCAGGGAGGGTGTCTCAGGTGGGACGGGGCGAGACCTGGAGTCCCCTGTTTTTGACCCACACCTGGTGGTGACATCAATCCTGGTGGGCTCAGGGACGATATGGGAACCAAGCCTGGCTCAGCTGTGTGCAAGGCAATTGCTCTACCCACTGTGCCATCTCTCTGGCCCAAACCCCCATCTCTGAGCCCCCCCCAATGCCTCCCCGGGGGGAAGGGCTCGTGCTGGGGCTCTGTTTGGGGTCACGCATGCTCACACCCAGCAGCACACCCCGAGGTGGCGCCCGCCCCACTGTCTGTCTTACAGACTCGGCCCTGGTGTGGACCCTGGCCAACAGCGCCCTCACCCTGCTGTGGCTTTGCCCCCATGCCGGGAGAGGGTCTCTGGGTGGGGGGGTCGGCGCCAAGGACCTCCAGGCAGCCAGCCGTGGACCCTGAGAAAGTGCTGGCGTCAGGGCTGCTCGTGGCTTAGGGCCTGGACCCGTTGCCCACGTGTGCCAGCCTTCACCCGCCGTCCGCGGAGGGCGGGAAGGATGGAGTTCCTAGGGCCCGCTGGGGGGCATGGTGTGGGGGCTGAGGGGCTGGAGCCGGGGGGTTGGTTTCCTGCCATCTTCAGAGCAGGGAGTTCTCAGCTGTGTGGAGACAGCGGGCTGGTGGCTGCCTGGGCGGGAGTGGGAGTGGCCAGTGTCCTCCAGGGCACCGGCTCTCCCTGGAACCGGGCCTTGGTGTTCTCCACGCTGTTGCCACGGGGCGCACACTGGGGTCTCCGGTTCCTGCTGTGTGCAGGGGGTGATGTGCCGAGCCACCAGAGCAATGGGGGGAGAGACAGGGGGAGACGGACAGAGCCCACACGCACTGTGGGGAGGGGGTCGGTCGCAGTGTCTCAGCAGGAAAGACCCCCCAGGTCCCTGCACCCGCCCCCACGGGCCTCCCCGGCCCCGGATGTGTGTCCCATGCACTGGCCCCTTGGCTCTCTGGGTGGTGAAGGTGCCTGTGTTCTGCCGGCCGCTGCTCACCCCTTTCCCTGTCTCTTGCAGCCCTGAAAAGGTCCTTCGAGGTGGAGGAGGCAGAGCCGCCCAGCGCCACGCCGCCCCGGCGCGTGCAGACCCCCCTGCTGCGGTCCACGGTCGCCAGCTCCACCCAGAAGTTCCAGGACCTGGGCGCGAAGGGCGGCGAGCTGGCCGGGCGCCACGCGGACCCCCTGAGCCAGCGCTCCCCCAAGGCCACCCTGCGCCGCGTGGAGCTGCCGGGGCCCCGGGCCGAGCCCGCGCCACGCCGCTCCGAGCTGTCCATCGACATCTCGTCCAAGCAGGTGGACGGCGCCGGGGCCGCACGCTTCGGCCTGAAGCGGACCGAGGTGCTGGGCCACCGGACGCCTGAGCCCGGCCCGCGCAGGACCGAGCTGACCCTCGTCAAGCCCCAGGAGACGCCGCACCGCAGGATGGAGACCCCTGCGGACGCGGCCCCCAAGAGGGTGGAGATCCAGGTGGCCAAGCCGGCGGAGGCGCCCCCCTCCCCCATCCCGCCCCACGGCCTGGAGGACCCGGAGCCCCCTGTCCTGCCCAAGGCGCAGCCCCCTCCGGAGGTGCCGGCAAGGAGCGTGGAAGGTGAGCGTGGAAGGACCCCGGTGGGGGGTGGGCACCCCAGGACCCCGGGGCTGGTGGTTTCGCTGTGCGGGCTGCGTTGCACAGAGCAGCAGCCGTGCTGGGCTGGGCCAGCAGTTGGATTTGTTTGGGGAAGGCAGGATGGTGACTGGCCCGGGGTGGGTCACTTTCCAGTGCTCGCTGGACTGAGGAGGGTTTACAGGGGTCCCTCAGCAGCCTCAAGGTATGCCCCAGCCTCCCTCCCCACCCCCCCAGGGAAGGAGCCCAGAAGCACAGCTCTGGGCCGTGTCCACGCCCCAAGGGGGTTGGCGAGAGGCAGGGCCAGCTGTGGGTGTCAGTGCAGGTGGAGGCAGCTGCTGGACTCCAGGGCGCATCACCGACGGCCCGTGGACTTGGCAGCAGAATGTTCTGGACTTTCCGTCTGCCTCGTAAGCGGTTTCACATTGAGTTGGGGCAGGATTGCCTCGTTCCAGCCGTTTCCTAGGGCGTACTTTGGGGCGCCGGCACCTGGCCCCGAACCCCTGCTCCCCCGCCATCGCCTCTGCTTCCTGCCCCTGTCCCCGCACGGCGGCCACCTCGCCTTGTCCCCACATCTGTGGTGTTCCTCGGCCTTGGCCTTAAGTCACTGCCGTGGAGACCCTGCCTGCATGTCTGTCCTTCCTTCCCGCCCATGGCATGGACAAGCCATCTCTGCACTTGTCCTCCGTGATGGACCCTGGGCACTGGCCCTGCCGGGACATCAGTGAATGCCCTGGGCTTCTCCGTCTGTCCCCACGCAGGCCGGGCTGTGCCCACACTGCCGTGTCCTTGGTCCTGCCCGCTCAGCTGTGCCAGGCAGGACTTGGCCGGGAGAGGGGGTCCTGGCTCTGAGGGCCTGTGGCGATGGTCACATAACCCTGGCCCTCCCGGTGCTACCCCGTGTGGGAGCCGTCCCGGCCCGCGCTCTCTCCCCTGCTGCAGCCGGGCCTGTGTGTCCACCGGGCTGCCCTGCAGCTGCGACGTGAACACCCTTCCCCCCGAGGGATAGTTGGCCATGGGAGAAGGCCTAGGGTCATTGCTGGACCAGACCCGGGACCACCCCTGGGCTGTGGCCTCCTGGGCAGGACACAGTCCCCAAGTCCCTGTGGAGCTGCCGGCACAGGGCGTTCCTCCCCCCAGGGTTCCCTCCCGCCCGCCAGCCTCTCTGTCTGGTCCGGTATTCCCGTGTTCCCCTGGTCACCTCGCCTCACCCTGACTGTGCTTTTTTTTCCTCTTTTTTTCTTTTTGGGTCACACCTGGCTCTGCACTCAGGAGTTACTCCTGGTGGTGCTCAGGGGACCATATGGGATGCTGGGAATCGAACCTGGGTCGTCCACGTGCAAGGCAAACGCCCTACCCTCTGTGCTATCTCTCCAGCCCCCTGCTCTTTAGTCACAGCACTAGTTTAGCTCCGATGCATCCTCCAAAGCCCCACTCTGCAGAACCTCTTCCATGCAGCCCTCCCTGAGTGGCAGGCTGTTATCTGATTCCCATGCTTTTTTTTTTTTTTTGCTCCTGGCCATGGGTTGTGGGGATCAACCCCAGGTCTGCTGTGTGTTAGGCAAACGCCTTCCCACCGTGCTGTTGCTTCTATTTTGCTTTTTTTCTTGTGTGTACTATTTTGTGTTTGGCTTGAGACCAGTCATCGGTGTGTGATTCTTCTCTTCCTCTTTTCCTTGTTTTTTTAATGGGAAATTCTCTTTTCAGCATCTTTTTTTTTTCTTTATGAAAATGGGGCCCGGGGCGGGAGGGGAGCCCCATTTCCGGGAGCTCGAGGCCCCAAGTTCGAGCCCTGCTTGGCGTGTCGCAGCTTCTTCAGTCCTGCCAGGAGGGGCACCCAGCCCCAGAAGCGCCTTATTCCAGGGCCAGTCGTCGTGTGGCCCATGCCTGGCGTTTTGAGGGGCAACTCAGTGCCCTCCCTGCGGCTCAGATCCTCCCTCCTCCCAGCAGGCTCCCAGGCACCACGAAACTTCCCCCCACCCCCCGTCGTGCGGTCACTGTGGGGGCTCGTCCACGTCAGCTGGAGACTTTTTTTTTCTGTTGTCGGGGATGGGGGGTTACTCCTGGCTCTGCGCTCCTGAGGGTACTCGGGCAACACAGGGGAGGCCGGGATCAAACCCAGGTGGGCTGCATGCAAGACGGGTGCCCTCCCCGGGGGACTATGGCTCCGGCCCTGATGCTTTGTTTTTGGGCTTGCCAGTGTACCCAGGACCTCACGCGTGTCATGACTTTGTTTGAAGCCCGTGACTGGGCCTGGGGGTGCTCCCTGGCGCTCGGGCAGGACCCACCAGGCGGTACCAGGAACTTCCCCGAGTCCGCGGGCCTGTGGGGCTGTGGGGTCATCCTGGTGATGCTGGAGCATCTTCAGGCTGGGGTAAAAGGCCACGGAGGGGACAGCCTGCCCTGCTCTGGCCACTGGACCCTGAGACCCTAGCCCCAACCACACCCGGACCCCGACCCTGCCCTCCCCCACCCCAGCCCCCCTCACCCGGCCCCCAGCCCCGACCTCACCCTCACCTGACCCCGGCCCCGACCATACCCGGACCCCAGCCCCTACCTCACCCGACCCCAGCCCCAACCACACCCGAACCCCAGCCCTGACCACCCCAAGCCCCCTGACTGGTCCCCCCAACCTCTGCTCCTAGGCTGTGAGTGACTGTACCCCCTCTCTTCCCCTGCCTGGGTGTTGAGCACGGCGGGTCCAGGACCCACAGACACAGGGGGTGGATGCGGGCTCAGCCTAGCGCCCTCCCTCCCCTGCTGCCTCTGGCCGGGCTGTCCTGAGGGGTCCGGGGCTGGGGGTCTGGGGCTGCGCAGCAGAGGTGAGTAGCTGGCCCGGGGAACCATGTTCCAAGGCATCAGCCCCTCCCTGGCCTCCATGTCCTCACACCAGGAGCCATGGGGGGCTGCTGGCCAGGGTGGACGGTCTGAGCTTTCCGGGTGCAGCCGCACATGTCTGACCCGACCCTGCCTCTCCCCCCCCAGTCCGTGGGGCTCCCAGGTCACGTGGCCGAGAGGGGGACAGTGAGTGTCTCAGAAACCCTCTAGAGTGTCCCTGGCCATGGGGGCACGGGGATGGGCCTGGACGTGGTTGGGTGTGGGGTTGCTGCCAGCTCAGGGACCCGGGGGACCAGGCTGGGGTAGGGGCTCAGGCACCCCATCTCACGGGGCGCCCCCTCCCTTCTGAGCCAGCCCCGGCCATATACAGCCTGAGGGTCGGACCCGCCTGCTCTGCTGAAGGCCAAGTGGACGGGATGGGGTGGGGTGCGCGGGTAACCTCCCACCTCACTCTGCCCCGACCCTCAGCCTGTAGGATCGTCTTCCGGAGGGGGTGACTGCTTTATTCCTGGGGAACAGGCCTGCCCGCTGCAGGACGCATTCGGGAAGGCCTCTCAGCGCCAGGCTGTCCCCTTGGTGGGGCTGGGGTGTCCTGCTCTTCCCCGGCCTCCGGGGCAGACGTCCCCTCCCTAGAGGGGGACGCGGGGGGACAGCAGGCTGGTCCCTGGCCCGTCTCCTGCCCAGCTGTCGGCGGCCCAGACTGCTTGGGTTTGGTGCACCCGGAAATGCCGGGGGCAGCTGCGGCACCTTAAATAGAGCTGGGCACAGCTGTCGGGGGCACCCAGGCGGGCCCAGGGGCTCAGGGCGAGATCTCGGGCACCACCCACCAGATGGGAGCCGCTGAGGAGCCGCCTGTGGTCAGGCCCGGGACAGCTGCCGGGAAGCCTCGGCCACACAATGGGGCTCTGTCCCGGGGCACCGGGCCGCCCCACCCCCATAGGCCCCGGGGTGCCACGTGGGACCCCGCGAGCAGGCTGTGGGGCTGGCAACTCGCTGCCCCGCTGACTTTATGGTCTTCCTGGCCGGACCCTCCCGTGGCCTCCTGGGACCTTCTGTGGGTATTTCGGCGTACCCTGGGCTTCGGGGTGCTCAGAGCCCCGGTCTGGGCCTGAGGTGTGGCCAGCAGGTGTGGCCACGGGGCCTGGCTCCAGCCTCTGGGTCTGTCCAGGGAGGCTGCACCGGGCCGTCCTGGCGGAAGAGACTCAGTGTTTATTTACTGTGTGTTGGTTTGGGGGCCACAACTGGCAGGGCCAGGACTCCTCGGATCGAACCCAGCTGGTCGTGTGCCAGCCAGATGCCCTCCCCGCCGTACTGTTACTCCTGGCTCTGCACTCAGGAATTACTCCTGGCGGTGCTCAGGGAACCCTATGGGATGCCGGGAATCGAACCCGGGTCAACCACGTGCAAGGTTAACGCCCTCCCCGCTGTGCTATTGCTCCAGCCCCAACTTTGCTCTTTTAAAACATCGAGTTTAGCTTCTCCTTCCTCGGCTGTTGGCTGTGGTGCTTCGTGCTCACGTGGGGGCAGCATCCGACTCTCGCCAGAGGCCCTCAGACCCGGGGGGCGCAGGTGAGGGTCAGCTCTGGCTGCTGCCTGAGGTGGGCTCCGAGTCTGTTCAGCCCCCGGGGAGCGATGGCTCCGTTCCCGCTGCGGCCTCTGCAGGAAACTTTCCCGCGGCCGCCGGCCTCCGCTATTCGCTCCCGGCCCTTCTTCCTGCCCACGGCTGCAGCCTGTAACCTCAGCCTGTAACCTAGGCTGGCCTTGGAAGTGGACGTGACCCATTCTCAGTTTTGGGGGTCCCTGCCGGGAGGCCGCCGAATACTCTGTGTACGCTCAGCCGGGTGCCGGGCCCCCCGCCCACCCACCTCTTGCTGTCCGCCCGGCCTTGGCTGCTGCCCCCGGGCCCCCGCCCCTCAGTTTTGGTTCTTGTTTTTTTGGAGTCTCTGGATACCTCCACGGCAGCTGGTGCAAGACACGTCCCCAGCTTTTGCATTTATTTATAGCGTGTCTTCGCGGGCAGAGATTGAGCCCAGCTGCCAGGCTTATTCTGCTGCCTTCTCCCTGGGGGTCTCCGCGCGGCCGGAACCCCGGGACACGCAGCCTGCTTGCTGCTCGTGCCCTGGACGTGGCACGTGGGGGGCTGAGGC